CTGAACTACTGCACCTGTAGACCCTTACCCATACCTAAACCACAGAGCCTAAACCCCTTGTGCTGAATTCTGAAACGGTTATGCCCCGCCCCGATCTTTGGTCTCAAGCCTGGCCTTAGACCCTGAATCCTGAACCCCAAACTTAAGCCACGTGATATCCCGAACCGAAAGCGCCATCATATCTCCCTAAAACCCGAACTCCGTTGGGCCCTAACCCTAAAATCTTGAACCCGACTTTAACCCTTTTCAGCCAATCCCAACCCTTTCCCTAAATCCTAAACCCATGAACCCTTAAAGCCCTGGAGCCCAAATCATGAGGACAGGGCTTTGCTGATATCTGGGGCCACTGCCGAAGCCGGACTTCCTGTTGCTTCAGACGGCATCGTACCCGCCTTCGGTGCTTGGGGATTTCATGGACTTGTGGCTTGATGGGTTTGGCCTTACGGGTGTAAGATTCGGGGTATTTAGCGATTTGGGTTGAGGGCTTTATCTAGGGGTTTTGTTTAGTGTTTGCTCCAGGCTGGCAAGGCATCTTTTTCGCGGTTTAGGGGCTAGGGGTGTAGTGGTTTAAGGTATGTGTGGTCAGGGCTATGGGGGTTATGGTTTACGCTCTGTGATTTAGGATCTGGGGCTCAGGGGCGTTTGGGTTTCGGACGAATCATCTTTTTCCTGACTGAGAGGAACTAACTAGGAGCTTTAGTTTGGGGCGTGGGTTCGGGTTCAGGGTCTAGATGGGTTTATGGTAGGATTCTTGGCAAAAGGTTTTGGGTTGGGGGTTTTGATGGCTGTTTCACTTCAGGTTTCCCTGGCCAGACACCCCCAAGAAGACTAGGTCCCAACGCGCTTTGCCTCATCAGGGACAAAAAGCAAACCCCTGCGCCCAAGTGCCAAAGCAAACCGCGGTACCATGCCTCAAAGGTCAGAGCTGCTAAGACTGGGCTCTTTTCTACAGACTTTCAGAGAAGTTGTGAAAGTGCCTTGCAGTAAACTTATGCGCTCGAGTATTTTCAATTTCCAGTTTTAGTTGTTCGTCAAGAACCCAGTACACACAACCGATGCATGTTGTAGGAAGGATCTGAACCTGTCATCGTGGACTTATTCCCATCGCCCCCGGGGGCTGGAAGATAAAGAGCGCACGGTATGAAACTCCACAGACCCCTCGGCAAGCCTTATAAATGCTTAACATGGTGTTCGGAAAACTCAATTACAAGCCTTCTCTTCAGCTGCTTCTGCCCAACCAGCCGCAGCATCACTCTCTGCCACCAGCGACGCGATCCTGCGAACCCTTAGGGTCCGAGTAATAGTATAGTGTATACTTTTGGGGCCACTGCTATTGTTATCATTACTAGTATCATTACCATGGTTACTAGTATATTATTAGCTACTACGAGTACTATTAGTACTACTACTTTTATTATTACTGCTATAATACGGGTCGAACTAGCTACTATATTGGTACCTAGACCCTTTGAGGAAGGAACGTACAAAGCCGGGCCTTGCTCGACTGCGCTTGTCTGTATTGCTCTTCGTCTGGTTTACTGAGCGAGTGACCGAGGGACTGAGGGAGCGAGTGCGGGGGTGAGTGAAAAATGGACGGACGTGGAGTTGAGTGGAGTGGAGCGGAGTTGAGTGGAGTGGTGAGTCAGTGANNGAGCGTGGCTGACTGCGGTGGGCGAGCAAGTACGTATGCATGCAGGTAAGCAAGCAAGCAGATACGTAAGTGAATGTTTTCATTGAGTTCATGTGAACATCTGTGACTATGTGTAGGTGCATGTATGCATAAGAGCTGTTATG